AGACGCCAAAGCGTTTCCTGTGATTCAAAACCGTTGGCCAAGCAAGCGAGACAAATTTGGAAAAACGAACGATATCAAACTAAGAATCTGAACAGCAAAGGAAATGCCGGCCAGAGAGAAAGACACACACAGGCTGGAGAGGGCATCTGCCCCCAGTCACTGGGGAAGGGGCCAGGACCCAAGATACAGCCACTATTAGAGCTGCACAGAGAAAGAGATCAGAAAGTGGGGGAATAGATAAAAAAGAAAGAAAAAGAAAGAAAAAAGAAAGAGAGAAAGGGAGAGAAAACAGCCAGCGTGGCCTGGTGTGGGACAGGGTTAATGGGTTAATGGGCTTCTGGGTTTGGTCCGGCCTGAGCGCAGCCCACAAGCACCCCTGGGTGCTGACCAGGTGGGCATGAAGAGCACTGTAAGGCTGAGCACTGACTGTCAAGCAGTACCCCTGAGCACAGCTTGTGGGGGGAGAGAAAAGGAGAGGGAGGGAGGGAGAAAAGGATGAGGAAGGAGGGGAGGAGGGAGGAGGGTGGGGAGGAAGGAGGGAAGGATGAGGATGAAGAAGCGGGGGAGAGAGGGGAAGATGAGAAAGGGTGGACAAGAGAGGGGAGGAGGGAGGGGAGAACGAGGAAGGGGAGAGGAGGGAGGGCATGGGAGGGCGGGGTGTGGGGCACAGAGCCTCAGGACAGGAGCTGGTGTCCCTCCCTAGCAGGGACAGGGGCACGTCCCCTCACTGTCAGACGAGGCCAGCGACGGTGTGACCTCCCCGGGAGGACAGTGTCCCTCAGACAGCCTCCGCTGGCCAAGGTCACCGTGAGGGACGGATGCCCTCGGGGGCCAGGCCCGGGTGCCGGAGCTGATGGGGCCCGGTTGGTTCCATCGGCCTTTGAGGCGACAGAGCGGACGGAACAGTCTGATGCGCCCGTCAGCTCGCCCTGCCCTGATCGGATCTGTCATGTGGGGGTGCGTTCCGGGGTCACAGCAGGCGGGGGCCGATGGAAAGCCCCTCCGGGCTGGCAAGGGCTCCCAGGGGATTTGGAGAAATGGGGTCAGGGCTCTGTCGCTGGTCCCCGCTGCCCCCCAGCCCCCTTGGCCGCTCTCTCCCTGTGAATGAGACTCAGGATGGGAAGCTGTGCTCCCTGCACCCCACCGAGAGGGCACGGAAGCCCCCCACTTCCCAGAGAGCCGCTTCCGCCCAGACCGGACACTTGGCGGCGTCCGGGCCGTGTTGGACCAGCGTCAGAGGCCGAGCCGCCTCCCCACACCGGACGTGGCGCGGAGAGGGCAGATTCTTGGGGTGGCGCCCAGACAACGGAGCCGCGTGGGTCCCTGCAGGGGTGCGGGGGCTGAGCACCGACCCGGCGCTCCCCCAGCCTCTGCCTGATTTCTTTTCTTCTTCTGTTTTTGTTTTTGTTTGGGGGCCACACCCGGTTGTGTCCAGGGCTTCCTCCTGCCTCTGCACTCAAGGGTCACTCCTGGCAGTGCTGGGGGCGGGGGCAGAGGAGATGCTGGGGATGGAACAGACTTGGTCACAGGACAGCAAGCAGCCCACCCGCTGTGGGGTCCTCTAGGCTCTCCGCAGCTCTCCCGGGCTCCCCCAGCTGCATCTCTCATGGGTGACCCGATGGCTTGGTCTGGCCCCCACGAACCATCTGACCTCTATCTGCACTTGGACCTCAAGCCCTTGAGACTGGGGTCTGCTGGACTATAATTGCTGGAAGAGGTGCCTGGACCCTTATCCCTGGCCCCCCCTCAAAGTTCTCACCACAGTCTTTCTGGGACTCTGGAGAGATTGGCAGAGGTGTCCTCTGGGGCCTTTCTCTTCTGTGGGGTTTTTTTTTTTTTTTTTTTTTTTTTTTTGCCTTTTGGGGTCATATCCAGGGGTCTACTCCTGGCTCATGCACTCAGGAATTACTCCTGTTGGTGCTCGGGGGACCATATGGGATGCCGGGGATCGAACCCGGGTTGGCTGCGTGCAAAGCAAACGCCCTACCTGCTGTGCTATCGCTCCAGCCCCTCTTCTGTGGGTTTGGGGCCACACCTGACGGTGCTTGGGACTGAGTCCTCTGTGCCCTCAGGAATCACTCCCAGTCATGCTGAGGACCCTGTGGGATGCCGGGGATCGAACACGGGTCGACCTCACATGAGGTCGGCACCCTCCCCTCTGTTCTGTCCCCTCTGAGCCCACTTTTGCAAGCCTTTCAACTGGGGTGGGGGTTGGGGTGGGCCTTGGCGAGCCCTGCAGGAAGCTGGCCTGGGCCCCTCGGCTGTCCTGGCCTCGCCTGGGTGCCCACGTGGTCCCAGCCCGTTTTTCCCTCCGACCTATTTTTTCCGGTTGTGTTTTATGTTCTTCCAAGGGGCCCCCCTCTCCTTCTTGGAAGCCAGCAAGCAACAAACACTCCAGCAGTGCCCTGTGACCTGGCCCTGGCCGGGGCTTCCTAAGCAGGCGGGGGGGGGGGGGGGGGGTGCGAGGGGAGGGGATTCTGGGCGGGGGGTCCTGTTAGGGAGCGCAGACCACGCTCAGCACCCCCCCCCCCACCACACACACACACCCGCCCCGCTGGGAGCCTGCCCTGGAAAACAGCAGCTCGGCGGGTGGGTTAGAGTAACAGGTTTGAGAGGCAGAACCAGAAGCCTCCATCTGCCAGCAAATTCCTCTCCCTCCCCCAGCCTCTTCCCAGCCTCCCGTCTGGCTGCTGGCAGGAGGCCCTGAGCCCGGGGGACTGCGGGCGGGCGGGCGGGGATCAGCTCCCTCGGATTTCTGTCAGCCCCAACCTGGCTGCCTTCACCTCGGGGCCTGCGAGGTGGGCCGCAGATTTTGCGAGCAGGGTTGGGGTGGGGGCACCCCCAGAGGATCCCCTGCCCGGGAACGGGGAGTCTTGGGGAGGCGTAGGGAGCACGGACACGCTAGGGAAGGGCAGGTCCACCCAGGCCGGCCGGCTGGCTCTCAGCAGGGGCTGCTGGCCGGTGGAGGGCGCTGGCCTGGCTCTGCGTGCACGGGGGCCCACAGCTGCAGAGCCCGGAGAGCAAGATCGGGCAACTGTCAGTGGTCAGGGCGCGGGCCTGGCACGAGGCCAGCCCAGGCTCCATCCCCGGCACCCCACAGGGTCCCCCGTGCCCCACCAGGAGTGATCCCTGAGTGCAGAGCCAGGAGTCTTCCCTGAGCACTGCTGGGTGTGGATACTCACTCAGCAACTGGAAACACACTAATGCGCACACACAGACACACACAGACACAGAGACACAGACACACAGACGCACACAGGCACACAGAGACACACAGACACACACATACACAGACACACGCACACACACAGACACACAGACACAGGCAGACACATAGAGACTCACACACAGACGTAAACACAGATACACAGATACACATACACACGCACAAACACACTACCTCTTCTTAATCACGCAGTCCCATGCACGCCCAACTGAGTCCATCACTGGCCTCTCCGTGGACGGCACTGCCCAGAGTGGTCACTGCAGGTTCCAACGTGGACCCTGCTCTCAGCCCCTGCGCCCTCGCACCCTCTGGGTCCAGGGGTCCCCAACTCTGGCCCCCTGTGTTGTCCTCTGAAAAAAGGGGTCACGTGGATGGATGCCCCTCACAGAAAGGCTGAGATGGCCTCAGACCAGCCCCATCACGTGCTAGTCAGTGCAGTGGGTGCCCATGGGCAGAGCCCTGGCGGGGAGGGGCGGGCGCTGGGGGGCCCGGACACATCCTTGGGGTCTCAGCGGCGCCCGCAGGTGTTAATCTGGCCCGGGCAGAATCCATGGCAGCGCAGGCAGGCCCTGCTGGGTGAGGCGAGAGCCCTCGGCTGCACAAGCAGAATGAGAGACTGTTTCTGGGACGCGCCAGAGAGAGGCCAGGGGGCAGGGGCTGGGGGTGGCCCAGGTGCATAAGGCCGGAGGTAGACCCCGCGAACCCCAGGTGTGCCCACCCCCAATGCAACCTGAAAGCTGCCAGCTCCGGCTTCTGAGTTGCGGGAGGTCGGTGGCCCGGAGGGAGGTGTCCTGGGTGAAGCTGTGGGGGCTGAGGTTCCTGGAAGAGCCTCAGAGGTCAAAGGGCAGAGAGGAGGCCCCTCCCCGCCCCTGTCCAATCAGGGAAGACTCTGGACCGGCCTGTAGGTGTCGGGTGGAAGTTGATGAGGGAGGAGGCTGTCCAGGCCCCACTGGGCACCAGGTGGACGGCCAAGCTCCTTCCACCCGTGCCCCCTGCTCGGCTGCGCACCCCCCATCCCAAATGGTCTGTGTCTGCCTGGCTTCCCTCAGCGCCCCCTTTACAGGAAGCAGCAGTGCCCAGTCGGCAGATGGGGCGTGGGGTGGGCGTGTCCTTCTCATGGGGGCACCCTTGCATCCCTCCCAGTACCCGAGGGGCTCCCCGACATGATAACCCAGAGAGCAGCCTGGCCCCCCAACCCTGCAGGTTAATGTAGAGGCCGGTGGGGGGCGGTGACTGTGGGCGTTGGTCCCACCCCCCTCCCCCACCCCTGGCCTTTGGGGTCACCGCTGGTCAGGCCCTAACTTGGCCACGGCTGTCAGGTGGCAACAGGGGACAGACCCAGGCTTGGGTCGCCTCCCAGGAAGAGGAATTTTAAAGCCCATGCGTCTCCCGGATGCTGGGGAGAGGAAGTGGATTCCGGGAGTGCAGCCACGGCGGGGAAGGGGGTGTGCAGGGGCGTTGGCCAGCAGATGGGAGGCAGGGGACACAGCGTCACGGGGTCCCTGAACAGGGCCAGGGCCTCTCGCCGGTCAGCGGGAGCTTAGCTGGCCAGCTCATGGTTGGGAAGCAGAAACCGTACCCCCTTTGCAAGAGCCCACGATGCTGGGGCAGGAGCTGGGGGCTGTCCAGGCAGGCGGGCACAGGAGGGTCCCGAGGCGGCAGAGAAGCCACCTCAGTCCCCCTGGCAGCCCCCTAGAACCCCACCCTGCTCCTCCCTTCCAGCCCCTGCCCCGTGCTCCCTCCCCCGCCCAGAAGCAGAGCCGGACACCAGACGTGCTACAGTGCTTTTTAATGTCTCTTTGCTGTTTTATCAAGATTTTGAAAAAATATACACTGTTCAGAATCTGGAACTGGTTTGGGGGAAGCTGGTGGGGCCACCCCGCCCCTTCCGAGTCTGGCCCCGCCCCCCACCGTAGTGGGGCTGTGCAGAGAGAGCCCCAGAGGGGCTCTGGGATCCAGGACGAGGTGGGGGGTCGCTGTCACGTGGTCGGCCAGCCACAGGGCCAGCTGGTTCCCATTTGCAGCCCCCCCCAGCTCACACCCCCCCTTCTGCTCACTCCCTGAGGGCGGGCTTCCAGGGGGTGGTGACACGGTCCAGTTGGGAAGAGCCAGAGTCTCCCTGTCGCCATTCGAGGGGGCCCCTGCGTCTGGACAGGGGCTTTGTTGTGCTGCTAAGCCAGAACCCCGTCCCTGGGGCCTGGGAAGGGAGGAGGAAGTGGCAGGGGGGAGGCTGGCGGGGCGGGTGGCCCTCACAAAGGCCCTCTCATCCCCGGGAACTGCCAGGGTTTCTGTTTTGTTTTTTTTAAATGATTTTCCCAAACACTCAGGACCAGCAACCTCCTTTACGGACGGCTGGGGGCGGGCACCCCCCCCCGAGTTGCAAATAAAAGGTCGACCCGCCTAAGGAGCACGGTGGTTCTGGGGGGTCCTCGGGCCCCCCTGCAACAGGGCGACAGGAGCCTGCTACCTGCTAGCTAAACCTCGTGGCCAAGACTTGGTGCCCGGCTCTCAACTGTCCCCAGTATTGCTCTGAAAGGGCTGAGCCCTACGAGGGAAGGACAGGGCGAACCACCAGGGTGGGGGGTGGAAGGCGCCCGCCTGCTCCCTGGACACCCCCCCTCCCCGGGCCCTTCTGGAAAACCCACCAAGTCCAGGCCCTTCTGTTCCTGTCTGGTTCCCGCCCCTCCCCGAAGAGGGGGTACAGTGAAGGGTCCCTAATGCCCATGGGGGCTCCAGGAGGGCGACCCCCCTTCCTCCCACCCCCCCCCCCGCCTTCCCCCGAGGGTCCTCGGAAGCCAGGGAGGGGGACCGGTGGGCAGGAGAGGGAAGGGGACCCCTGTCTGGGCACGAGGGGAGAGTGGCCCGTGCTGTGGGGGCCCCCAACTCCTCCACGGGGCCCCCCGAGGGGTGGCCAACTCTGTCCTTCCGCAGGGTGGAGGGGGCAGGAAGTGGCCGGTGGTGGGGGACTTGGGGGCGGCCGCGGGCCTCACACCCGGATCTCGTCTTCCTCCTCCTCGTCCATGAAGGAAAATTCCTTGTCGGGCTGCCGGGGGAGGGGGCCGCGGCTGGCCGGACTGCGCTCCTCCAGGATGCCCGACGTGCAGCTGGACAGGGAGCTGCTGTCCCGCGTGGTGCGGCTGCCCAGGCTGCGGGCCGAGCCGGGGCTGGGGGCCGCCGCCCCCCACCCCTCCTCCTGCACCGCCTGGGCGGGCGGTGGGAGCCGGTCAGGGCCGCCTGCCTGGCCCCCGGACCTGGCTGGGGCAGGGGACCCCAAGGTGGCCATCGGGGCATGCCCGGGGGGCCGGCCCAGGGGCGCGGCGTCCTCCTCCTCCTCGTCCTCCTCCTCGCGGTAGCCGCCATCGTGGTAGCCGCCGTCCTCCTCCTCCCCCTCCGGGTCCCACTCGTCCTTGTCCATGATGCTGAGGACGTCACCCAGCATGGACGGGCCCAGGTCGATGTGGAAGGACAGCACGGACTCGGCGTGTTTCAGCCCGTGGCCAGCCCTGGGCACCACAGGCAGCTCGGTCAGGTCCCCGAAGGCCTGCTCATCCAGGAGGGCGTCGGCCAGGCCCGGGCTGGCAGCCCCGTTCCTGCGGGCCGCCCCGTCGAGGGCCCCTGCGGCCACTGCTGCCGCCGCCGCCACCTCCTCCTGGCCGCCCTCGCCGCCCGCCTTCTTCACGGGGCTGTTGGACAGGCTCTTGGGCAGCTTGCCGGTCCCGCGCTCGGCCGCCTCCTTGTCGTTGAGCTGCGGCAGGGACATGGCGTTCTTGACGAACAGTGCCGAGTCACGCAGGGAGCCCAGCACGTCCCTCTGCTCGCGCTCGCCCCGGGTCACTGACTGCGACCGCTTGCTGCCCCGGAACTTGCGGGACAGCAGGCCGCGCTTGGCGGGGGCCGCGGCCGCCGGCGGCTCGTCCAGCGACTCGGCGTCCAGCTCGCCGGCCTTGCTGTTGAGGAAGGACGTGTCCCCGAAGGCGTCGCCCGCGCGGCCCACGTGCATGGTGTGGCGGAAGTCACCCAGCGGGGCGCTGATCATCTCGGCCGTCAGGTCCACCCGTGAGCGGCGCTTGGAGTGGACCGAGCCGGACACCAGCTGCTTGAGGATGGGCATGGTGGAGGGTGGTGGCGGGGGTCCTAGGCCCGGCCCGCGGGAATCAGACGCGGGATCGGCGGGGACGGCGGGTGAGGTGGTCACAGGCCTGCAGGGGGGAAGCAGAGGGCACAGGGTTAAGCGGGTGACTGTCCACCCCACATGGCTGTCCAGGGCTAGAAGGCCGAGGAGCCACCCCCTGCCCCCACCCGCTGATGGGGCCTGTACGGCCCTGGCAGAGTGTGTCGGCCAGCCCAGTGTAGGCTCAGGGGCAGGGCCTCCCTCTGGGTCTGGACGAGCCCCGACCAATCCCCCCTCTCCTCCCCGCCACCCCCACCCGGAGCCCGGGGGCGCCCGAGCCCGCAGTCAAGCACCCCGAGACCAGACGGAGACGCTGGCCCCGGACAGCAGCCAGGCTGGCGACACCCCTCAATTTCTTCCTGTCGCCTGACCTCAATCCGGGCAGGGGAGACTAACCTGAGTCACTGTCCTGGCAGGGAGGGGGGGGGCGGGGGGGGGCAGGGAGGCGGCCCGGCCCGGGCCTCCAGTTCCACTTCTGAATCAGGCACCGGGTGGGGCGGGGCGGCGGGACCCACAGAACCAGCTCCCCGGCTTTCCGGGCCCCGCCGGGTGGGGGCCTGTATCGGGTCTCAGTGCCGAGGACACCCACACCCCAGCCCTGAGGCCGGGCTGGAAAGCTCAGTGACACCCCCCCCACCCACGCCCCTCTTGGTGAAGCTTTTCAGGGCAGCCAAGGGCAAAGAGCCAGGAGACCCCGAGAGCCCCCTCCTTCCTTCCCTCCCTCCCTCCCTCCATCTGCAGGCCTGGGGGCCGCGGTGAAGCTCTGTGCTGGGACCAAGCCAGTCCTGCCCCCACCCCCACCCCCACCCCCAGTCCCCTAGTGCAGACCTGGGCCACGTGCTGTCACCTCCTTCCGGTTCTCCACTCACCTCTGAGCTAAAACCGAACCTCCCCCGTACAAACCCTGGCTCCATTGGACCCCTGCACTCTGCTCAGCTCCCTAGACCCATTTCCCAGCACCCCAGGGCTGTACTGAGCCTGGAGGCGGGGGATCCTCCAGGCCGTAGCCCCCGCCACCCCAGCATCTCTGACGTCCCTTCCTCTCCCCACACCTTCAGCGACATCATTCTCTGCAGCCAGTCTCCTAATCCCACCCATCTAGAAGCTTCCAGAAGGTCTAGAAGCTTCTAGAAGGTTCCGAGGGACCTATTCACTGAACCCCGCATACCCATGCTGGGCCCCCAACCTCACACCCTGAGTGTCTCCCCTTCTACCTGCACAGCCCCCGGGCTTTAACCTGGGCTTCTAACCCGCTGTCCCTGTCTAGCTGCCCACGTCCAGACGGAGGACCGCCATTCCCAAGTCTGCCGGTTTCTCCCATCAGCCAGGGGTCCCTCCTGCATCCCTCCCGCAGTTATCTGGAAAAGGCAGTGGCAGCCGGGTTTGGGGCACCAGCCACACAGGTGACCTGGGTTCAGAGCCGCAGGAGAACGTCCCAGAATGGCGCTGAGGGGGGCGGCGGGTTCCCCCCTCACTCTCCTCCCACCAAGCCCTGGCCTGAACCTCCCCACTGCCGACACCCCAGGCTCCAACCCCTGAACAACGCGACAAGTGAACTGCCTGGCGGGGACCGGCCGACGCCTCCCATAAAGATCTCAGCTCCTGAGCGAAGATCCATCTTGCTTCGGTTTAGGTTTTGTGTTGGGGCCACACACCTGGCGAGTTTCAGGGCTGACTCCTGGCTCCGCACACAGGGATCCCTCCTGGCGGGCTAGGATCTGGGGAGCTGGAGCTCAAACCCGGGTTGGCTGTGAGCAAGGCGAACACTCTGCCCACTGCACTAGCTCTGTGGCCCGGAGATCAAGCACGAGGGCACAAAAGCAGTGGTCGAACACCGCCGGCCACGAGCCATGCTGTGCCCCAATAAAACGTTATTTATACAATCAAGTGGGGGGCCAGATAGGGCCCGGGAGTTGGAGTTTGCTCGATCAGAGACACACAAAGCTCAGGTCTGAGTGTCCTTCCCTCGCCGGGGTTCCAAGGGGGAGCTGACAACGGAAGCCCTGGGCCAGTCATGTGCTCTGAGGCCAAACTGTGGAAGGAAAGCAGCCCAGTTGGGCTCTTGGGAGAGGGTCTTCCTGGGTTCTGCCAGCACTGAGAAAGAGTGGCAAGAATGGCACGACGGGGCTGGAGCAATAGCACAGCGGGGAGGGCATCTGCCTTGCACGCGGCTGACCCGGGTTCGATTCCGAGCATCCCATAGGGTCCTCCGAGCACTGCCAGGAGTAATTCCTGAGCGCAAAGCCAGAGAACCCCTGTGCATCACGCGGTGTGACCCAAAATGTCAAGGAAAAAAGAAAAAAGGATGGCATGGCCCTTTGTGCCCGCCCGCAAGCCTGGGATGGTGGGAAGAGATTTGCAGAAGGCACGTTTCCCTCCAGGCTGAAGTTTGCAGGCGCAGGGCAGGGCTTGGACGCAGGCCCGCGCCTGTCCAGGTGGCCGCGAGGTGGCGAGTGACCACGTCCCACCAGGTGCCCCGCCCACAGGCAGCCACCCGAAGGAGGGGCCTGCTTCCTGGAATCTCCACGCCACCCCCCCCCCCCACCTCCGGCACCCCTCCCCGTGGCCTCCACCTACGCAGCGGCGGCAGCAGCAGCGTCCCTGGGCCAGCCGGGAAAACCCCCGGCAAGTCCAGACGTGTCAGCTGCCAATCAGGGGTCAGACGTGCCCGCGGACACACGTGAGGCAGAGGGGGGTGGAGAGGGCCAGAACGACGGAATCCAACCGGCGGGGGAGGCAGGAACCCAGGCCCCCTTGTAAACTTCAGGCCCCTTAGGGTAGCGACCAGGGCCGGGATTCCAGAGGGCCGGGAGGAGGAGGGCTCCCACCCTTCCCCACATCCCCATCCCCCCTGGGACGGGACGAGAGGGACATAGCACATAGTACCCACCACAGCTTGATCCTCCTTACCACCCCTGTCCTCTCCAGCCCGGGACCCCCAGGCTCCCGTGGGGTCCCCACCCCTCCATAACTGCTCTGCCTGGGACATCTGCTCCCTGGGCTGGGACTGAGGCTGGGGCTGGGGGTGGGACCAAACCATCTGTCACACCGTGTGGAGGGGCTGAAGGAACATGGGGACCCGGAGCAGAGTTGGGGGCAGGGCTGAGTCTGAGCTCCGGGGTCCCAAGGTCACAGCCAGGCTGCAGGGGGGTCCACAGATGTTGTTGCAGCTGTTGGTGTCATGGTGCCCGCGTGATTTTTTTTTGTGGGGAAGGGGTTGGGCTTCCCCCAGCAGTGCTCAGGGCTGGCTCCAGACTCTGTGCTCACCAGTTGTTATTATTATTATTCTCATTCTCATTGTTATTTCTATTTGGGCCACACCTGGTGGTGCTCAGGGCTTACTCCTGCCTCTGGGCTCAGGGGACCCGATTAGCCGGCTGTGGACAAGGCAGGCGCCCTCCCCAGTAAACTGTCCGTCCTCGGGGGTTACTTTTGGTGATGCTGCGGTCAGTCCTGGGGATGGAACTGAGGTCAGCTGCGGTGGGACCCGAAGCAGGTGCCCCGGCCAGTCTGGGGGACGAGAGGCCGGGGCCATGGGGCTGTGGGCGTGGGGGCAGGGGTGGGCCTTACTGGCGCTGTGACTCAGCTCTGGGAAAGCGGCTAAAACAGGAGTCCTGACCACGGGCAGCCGCGCCCACAGCGCCCAGCCTGGACACCCCACCCCACCCCGGAAACCACATCCCACTCTGCTGGCCAAGCCCAGGAAAGCGGGGCCGCGGCTGGCGCTTCTCCCTGACCCTCTGCTTCCGCCCTGTGGCCACGTGGACCACTGAGCCACCACGGAGCCCAGGGTCCCCCACCATGACCCCATCAATCACTGCCGGGGGCGGGGGGCGGCAGCAGAGACGGCGACCTTCTGGCCGTCCCCCCGTCCCACACCAGCCAGCCCTTGTGGGGCTTCCCGGCGGGCACCCCCTCTCCTGCTGGCCGTGGTCGGCACCCACAAGGCTCTGCACCCCCCCTCTCTGCTCAATTCCCGGCCAGCAGCCCCCAGCCCTGCGGCACCCACAGAAGGGGGGCCGGAAACTGGCTCCTCCTCCCTGCCCTATGATCCCCTACTTGCTGCACCCCTACCCACACCCGCCTGCACAGCCGGGTTCTGGGGACCAACAGTGAAAACAATGGGCTAAGCCCTGCACCCCTCCTGGGAGGGTCAGACCTCCGGGTCAGAGGGCCCTGTGGGGAGCAAGTAGGAGGGTGCCCCGACAAAGAAAGGGCTCAGGGAGCTGGTAACTGACGACAGAGGGCAGAGGGTGGGGTTCATCGAGGCCATCCCGGCTGAGGGGAGATGCGGGGAGAAGCGTGCCCAGAGCGGGAATGCCATGGTGACCGGGACAGAATGAAACCTGAGGGTCGGACACCTGGGAGACCAGGTAAGAGCCAGGAGAGTGACCCGGGTGTCCGAGGTGGCCCTCGAAGTGCTCCCAGAGCAGGAAGTGCTCCTGAATAAAGTGCTCTCAAGCAGGAAGTGCTCCCGCGCAGGAAGTCTGGCTGTGAGGCCCACAGCAGGAATCCACTCGGGGCCTGGTGTGGTTTCAAGCACCTGGGACAGGCTGGGCATGGGACGGCGGGTCAGGTGCTTCCCTGGCATGTGGCCACCCTGGGTTCTGCGATTAGCACCGCCTGCTCTGCCCGGACTGACCGCAGAGCACAGAGCCCTGAGCACTGCCTGGTGCGGCCCCCAAAACAAGGCCCACGCACAAGGGCCGGGCGGGGGGCAGTGGCTCAGGAGAAGGACAGAGAGGGACGCTCTCTTACAGGAGGTCGGGGGGACAGAGACATAGGAAGGACAGAAAGGGCGGAATCAAAGGGGGCCCCCAGGGGGCCACCCCTGCCCGGGGGTGGGGGCCGCCTCTCTCCCTGGGCTGTGACCATGTCTCCCCAAGAGAAAGAACTCAAGGAGAGGCTGTCCCGTGTGTCCACAAGACGGACAGACGGAGGCTGCAGCCTAGCAAGGAGCCCGGCGCCATGGACAGAGGCCTGGGGCTGTCTGGCCCCATCCCAGCCTGATCCCACAGATAAGGAGGC